AGAAAACTAGTATATGAAGATCTATGAGAATTTCTCATTACCATATTCGGAATCAGCTAGATCGAGAACACATAATCCAAGAGGTTTTGATGAGAAAGTGGTTGATCATTTGAAAACGTTCCCTTATTAGTGGATTGATGTTTTCTGCTAAATTCCAAAAAATGTGCAGCAAAATTTTCAGCTTTCAATGGGTATTCTAAACCAAATATTTTTACACAGGCTTGTAGTAAAGTTTTTGTTCTTTCTAACCAAATATATATATATATATCAAGCCTTCACGATGAGTTGTTATTTAGTTATACTGGAAACCAAATTAATGCAAGACTTTTGTAGCATTCGTTATAATTTTTCGATTTTCATCGTCATTTAGGTTATATATTAATTATCATAGAGTGAAATAAAATAGATTATTATTATCACGAGATACAGAAAACATAAGATTGTTACCAACAAATCAATGGTTTGTTTTCTTTTTTCAGGTGTTCCACCCCATGATTATGTCAGTTTTTTTGGTATGCGTGCTCATGATGTTCTCATGGGTGTTTTAGTAAGTAAATAATAAAGAATTCTTAGTGAAATATAGAATAAATTTTTGTTAGGTAACTGAAATAATATATGTACATTCAAAATTAATGATAATTGATGATCGTATGGCAATTTGTGGTAGTGCTAATATAAATGATCGCTCATTACTTGGTCAACGTGATAGTGAATTTTGTGTTGTTATAAATGATCGCGAAGAAGAAAATGGTGTATTTAATGGACAACAAGTTCGTGTAGGAAAATTTTGTGGTAGTTGGAGAAAACGACTTTTTGCGTATATTTATTATTTTTGTTTTGTTTTACTTTGATGACAATTAAATACTTTTTTTTTGTTCTAGAATGATGTTAGGTATTCTACATGAAAATCCTAATAATATTGACATAAGTGATCCAGTATCAGATGAATTTTATAATTATTTTCGAAATGTTGCAAAAGAAAATACACTTATATATGAAGATATATTTGCAACATTACCAAGTGATCGTGTTAAAAACTTTAATCAAGTTGGTCAATATACTGAAGCAGCGAAATTAAAAGACACTGATCCATTAAAAGTAGAAATATAATTGTTTTTATTTCATTAGAAATTCTTTTTCTTTTATTTAGGCACAAGAAAAATTAAAAAAAGTTCAAGGTACAGTTGTTGAATATCCACTTTATTTTCTTGATGAAGAAAATTATTTGCCAAGTCTTCGAACCCGTGAAGGTAAAATTTGAAATCACGTCCCAGAAATTCTGAAATACACATTTGTTGAAACAGAAAATTCTTTTCGGAAAGGTTTTTTTGTACATGTTAAAGTAGAGACTTAACTAATGATAGATATACAAAATTCATTCGAATACTTAGAACAATAAAAAACTGTTGATCGAATTGCTTTAGAAAATTGTTAAGTAAATAGTATTTTATCTGGCGTAGGGATGGCATTGTTCTGAAGATTAAGTTTGCTCTATGAGAGTTCTAAATAACTTCTCTGAAAGAGAATATCTCGATAAAACGCTAACAGTAAATCTAATCAATATTTTCTATGTAGAATTACGAGGATGAAACTACAATAAAATCTCCATATGTCAGTATCTCCTTGTTCTTAGCAGTAAGCACTTATTTCTTATCCCAAAGGTAGTAACAACCTCCGTAATGTGAGCAACATGTATTCTATCACTCACGTGCAGAACAAAAAAGATGCCGTTATGTGTATTGTGTTTTGATAAATAATCATAGGATACATATTAAAAAATGATCAACTGACCGTACACATTTAAAAGAAAAAAACCTTGTATTGGACAACAGCAGCAGTTCTTCGTGTAACATGTCGTCACTTTTTTATTAATAGTAGCATGAAATAATGTCAATACGAGTTGATTTAACTCTAATGAAAAAAAACGTCGAATTCATAAATTGCTGGAAAGAAACAGAAAAGTCATTTTGTGATAAAAATATTCAGTTTCAGTTTACTGACTATCGGCATAACCGACTGAGTGTGATTAGTGTACACTAACACCAAGAGCATACTTAGATAGAGTTGGTATCTCAATGTTACAGTGAATAGAAATGTCTGTGCTTCACTGGAGCCTGTGTTGTTCACTTGCTGTCAGTATTTATGCCAACACTACACATTTATATCGTGTACAGCCGACAAGCGCTTGTAACTGAATGCTTATAGGTTGCAAAAAAATAAACCTGAAAACTAGGGATGCAAGAAACCCAAGGTCTTGAGATTTTATGTAGAAAGATTTGGGTTTGATTTAGACTGGGATCTAGGTTTGGATTTGGTCTTAAAACACCCAAATAGGACAAGACTCTGTAAGATAAAGCACTAGAAGAGAGAAAAGAATCGAAAGCCCTCAAAATTGATATGAAATAGTTTGAATTTGATATAGATTTGAGTTTGGGATTTGCTTTTGGTGTTCGAATTTGGTTTCATTCTAACATAGCTCTAAAGTTAGGATCATATAGATCGAAGACCCAAATCCCAACTTCAAATCCAAATATAAGATCCAAACTCAAACTCATATCCAAATCCAAATCTCAAATCTATTATAGGTTTGTGCACCTCTACTGAAAACATCCCAATGATTAACTTCTCCGTAAAGTGTACACTTTTGCCAGTACCGACTGTGTCCACATTAGAAAAGTTTTACTACACGATAATAGAGAACAATTGAAAAATTAAGTTTAAAGACGAACAAAACAAATTTAATGTTCGTTTATGTTGACGAACACAATTAAAATCATAATCAAATCCATAAACATTAGTTATAAGTTTCTTTCTATTTGAAAGAGTATTTTTAAAATAACGGTCAATAAGTTATTAAGACAGAACATAATCATCTTGTTAAGGTTTTTTTTTGTTATTGAGGAAGCTATTTATCTCAAACACTATAATAAATTAGTACTAAATCAATGCAATAGTCTAACAAAGTTTCAAACAGTTTGCGTTTGTTATATACAAGAATGGTAAATTTAAAAATGATTTCAGAATTCCTGGGACATTGTATATACAAAGAATTCTATTATTTTTTGTTTTATTATTATTTTAGGACTTGTTCCCAATATAATGTGGACATAATTGAATATTCCACTAACCTATTTATTAAGAATTAAGAGGTGATATGACTTTTGTTAGGTAATATTGGAGATTATAATAATGATATTTGATCAATACTATAAATAAAATATGTGCTAGTGTGTGTATAATTTTATTTATTTCCTTTTTCTGTGATTTATCTTTTGTTCTGCATATAAGCATGTATTCCGTTATATTTTCTTTTCTTTTTCTATGAAATTCTTTCAGCTTTATGTTTTGGACTGATCAGGCACTGTTGATCGATTGCTTATTTGTTAAATAAATACGCATGCAATTTTCTTATTTAAAAAAAAGCATAAAGACAAACAGAAAAAAAACAATCACAAAAATCAGTTTGAAATATTTTAGTCTTGTTTCATGGAGTTGGTAGGTTGTTTGGGTCGAGCTGCTGTTTGCATCATTAAACGGACACCGAACACACCTAGAAAACAAATATATATATATATTCTTCAATCATAATATAAATGTAGAAAAATTTGTGTTCATCAAGTATTTAAGTTGATTCAAGAGCATCTAATAGATTTCTTAATCAAAAACAAATTATTCAACTGATGTGGAATAGTTAAAAAATATCAATTGTCAAAGTTCGATATTTGAAGATTAAGGTATGTGTTTTCTTAATGTCCTTTTTTGTTTGAAGCCAGAAATTTCACTTAACGATATTTAACAAGATTTCAATACATGAAAATGAATTACTTAGGCAGACGTATTCTGAGAGAGTCTTATGAGATAAACAACTGTGTCATATTTCGAAAATTTTTGAATTCATTTATTAAACCACTGATTTCAGTGTCTATCAGGATTTAAGCAAAAGAGTCTTTCAAACAAGAACATCATCCACGTAGTTTGTCAAAACACTACGACACATGATTAAACTATTGGTTTAATGTGATTGAATTTTAACTGTGAACTTAAGAAAACTTGAAAAGTATTCGTTAGTATGAATTGAACTTCGAAACATCTATACATAAAACCAAAAGGGCATTTAAATCTTTTTTTTTTGTTTTTAACATAACACTGAACAAAAATTTAATATTTGTTTCAGCACCAAAAACAATCCACAGACAAACACAACAGATGTTCCTGTAAACCAGAGATGTGTATTGCGTCTAAGAAAAGAGGCAAGGGCGAACACTGCCTAAGATCTTCTTGACTGGCGGCACAACCGCACCTAACACTAATTGGAATATATTTTTCGCCAATTATCTCCTCATACTGGTTGTTCAATAATATTTTTTTAGAATTATGTTTAATTTCTGAACACTGATCTAAGTACAACAACATAAAATTGAAAATACCACAAAAGAATATTTAATTAGGTAAAATGTAGTTTGATCTATATATATATACTTATAGTGTGTTCATGTCTGTCTTAACTTATTTTGCAGTTAAATTGGCACACATTTAAGTTTAAGGCGAATTTAAATATTATTATGCTTGTCACAATGAAATTCATAAAATTTGAATATAAGTCGATTTGTTATCAATATAATTTTAAATTAACATTGATTACGATTTAATTTATAAATTTAACAAATGAATATGAAACGAGATAATAAAACAAATGGTATTTCAGAAAGAATGAGTTTGTTAACGAATAAATTTCTTTTAATTTTTCAGTATTTGATATTCATGCCTTTTAACATTCGTAGAAATAGTGTGACAACTGGTATGATTAAGACGCAGTCGCTCGGCGAATGACTAAGAAGAGAGGCAGGAGCGAAGTGATCGTTGAAAAAGGAGTCATAGTTTCTGTTGGGGAATGGGCGGGAGTGCATATATCTAATATAAGCTTCTTCATTTGTAGTTATTTAATAAGCATGTTTTCATCATATGTTCTAAGCAGATGTTCCTTCAGAATTTTTCTAGTATTAAAAAAGATATTTTTTAAAATTACCTGCCATAACAATGCAAAGAAAGATAATCTGTGAAAAAAGCGAGCCAAATAATAAAAATTGAATGAATAAATAAATTGATGGTAGTCCAATAAGAATTAAACAACTAAGTTCAATAATTAAATCTTGTTTTCTACGTTTTAAATCTGGTGCTTTAGGATTACCAGCTCCATCAAATGTTCCATGTTGTACAAAATGTTCAAATACTTTATCCTTAAAGTAAAATATATCTATTGAGAAATAAAAGAAAAATAATAAATTACTTTCTCTTGAAAAAGTTTATGAATAAATTGAGCAGATTTTTCTTCATCGTCATATGGAACTTCCGATACTGGAATACGTCGAACAAAAGCTTCACCTTGACATTGTTGACCCATTAAAAGATTTGATAATTCAGGATTTTTTGGACTTTGAAATGCAACTGTTATGTCATAAATTCCAGTAACTAAAAACAAAGATAACAACAATAAATTCTGATAAAGAAACAAAAAATAAATTTACTATGGTTATGAATGCCTTTCATAACAAGAACAAAACCTTTTGTTCTTGGTAAAATATGATGTTGCAATTCAGGTAAACCTTTTTGTCGTGCTACTTCCATACTTTCAAGACGTTTTTCATTTGTATAACGAGTTCCTTCACATGATAGAAATAACTATTTTTTTTAAATTTAAAATATTTTAAAAACTATTCTAATGGAAGAAAAAGAAGAAATCTTACAGTAAAATAATAATTTTTTGGATAATCATCAACAAGTCGTTTTATATCACGTTCAAGTATAGCTTTATCTGTACTCCAAACACGCCGTAGAAATATTGATTCTGTAAAATACCAACACCAACCAATTATTGGTAATACACGAAGAGACTGTTTGCCAAGAATTTTTGAACCCTATATTTCAATTCGAATTAAACAAATTTAATTTTTTCATAAAACCTCACTCCAGCTAATCCAAGTCTTTGTGTAACAACCCAACCAAGTAACCAATCGACTTCATAGCGATGATTACCTAACCATAAAGAATTTTCTCGACGCATTTTTTCTAAATCTTTAGGTTGAATATAAACCGTTATATCGGAATTGGACCTAGACAATCAATAAAAGATAAATAAAATATATTCCCAAAAGAATCATATTCTAATATGAGAACGTGGAACATTTGTCGAGTAAGGTTATTTAATCAATAAAAACGCTAAGTGTAACATGCAATATATATATAACTAAGATTTTTGATTAATGTATTTTTTGTCTATGAATAAAAACAAGCAACTTACCACCATTGATAGACAAATGTCATTTCTATAAATAATATTCAAATGTAAGTTTTACAAAAGAAAAGGTTTAGAAAACTTACGACTCCATATAATTGTTGCTAAATGATAATTAATCTTTCGATACAAAGCTCGATTAAATGGCCATATGAAACATGCTGAGAGAAGTTGAAGCAGATTAACAAAAAGACCACTAACAAGAAATACATAAGCGAGAAATATTTGAACGATAAGAAGTCCTTGGAAACAACGACCCCATGACTGAGTCTCGATTGATCCTGACATCTGGAAATGACTGTTCAATTATTAAAAAAAAATCCTAATTATAGTTTTTTTTCTTAACAATAAAGATCTAGTTATTATGTATGCAATACCATAAAATCATTTCTGATTATTCTTTTCTTTCTAAGAAATAAACGAAAGAACCTTGTCCCTATGGTATTTTAACTTCACATCATCCTCTTTCTCTTTTTTTTTTTTTTCGTAGAGAATATATATCTGCACTTTAATTGTCCATGTGACGAAAACGTAAACTACTATGGCGTGTTAATAGGAAAGAAAAAAAGAAAAGTTTATGTAACCCTTCAATGAAAGCAAAAGCTACTATACTACAGACACATAACAAATTAGTCATACAATAAGATCGAATATATACATAAAAAAAAAGGATGAAAATGATAGTATGCAAAGACGTACATATACACGGATCCGTTTCTGCTTGTTATTTCCTATCAATTATCAGTCTCATTATAATACCATGCGCAAGTAAAAAAAATTCTTCTTCATTCGAATGTCATGTCAGTTGGCAAAAAGAAGAAAAAGAAAAAGAAAAACGATGCGTGTGGTGTATGGTTTGATCAGTACTCTTATATACAAACTATAATGTGCTTTGTGTAGTATGTATGCTTTCGTAGGGTTTTTTTTCAATTGTTCTTCAACTACATGTGCCCTTTTTCTAGTAATCGAATCATAGCAAGAACAGAAAAGAAAAAAAAATCTTTAACAATTACCTATCGACGATAAATGGATGCAAAAAAAAAACAAAGAAAATATTTTAGTTTAGTTAATATTTTGATGCTAAGTTATTGGAAAATAATTAATACAAATAAACAATATTCTCAATTGTTAATTACAATTTTCATTTTCAATTTGATTATATCACCTAATGGTCTTGATATTCATTTATAGACTATAGAAAAATAGAAGAGATTAGAATAAGTAAATACATAACTAAATATAACTGATATCGTAAAAATGTCGTTGATTATCAGTAGGTTTTGAAGTTAAAGAATATTTTTTTATCAAAACAATAATTTTATCTGTATTTGATTGAACTGTATATTTATTATTTACTATCAATATTTGTATCTTTACGAAAAATCTTAGGACAATAAAATTAAAACAAGAAATATAAGTTGTTGTGAAGAGTAAGTTGAAATTGAGGCTTTTGCAGCTCCTCCCCTAGCAACCGAGATTAAGAAAAGGAAAGCCAAAGATTGTTGGTTACATTTTCTCAGCAACAGGAAAAAGCGCACCAATAATAACTGAGCTTAGATCGTTCTCTGACTTAGCAACTTTCAAAGCATTCTAGTTGGTTTTGATGCAGCGAAAGAATCTTATTATAGGGTCTCAATCAGCAGGAAGGCAGTACTATTGATTCAGCAGAGTCAGAATAGGGCAAACATAGGAAAATATGAACTAATTAAATTCTAAGTGAAGACAAAACTCAACCGTATACGTCAAAACTCGTCGACAGAAAGGATAGTATGCTTGGAATCTTACTGAACGGTTAAAGCAATGTGTATAGCAGATTAACATGATGGTTGAAGTTATGAAACGAAGAATAAAATGATATTTGCCACTTTCTATGACACTTATCGTGTACATCATCATTAAAAGAATAGAAATTATGTATTGAAGATATAGCCGACAATACAAACAAGTTTTTTCAGTATAACGATATTAAGGCGGATCTCACACAGAAATAAACTTTTTTATTTTTCATCCGGTTGAAAACAAAATTTTAGAGAATGTTAGTCTTGGCTAGAATAGATAATGCTAAAATATCTTATCTCAAATCTTCGCAATATGTATAAGCTTCAGTCCATTCATTGATCAAATGTATTCTTTACGTATAGAAAATTTTCAAAATGAGAATATGAGCAAATATTTCGAAATGGTTTTTAAATTGTAGAGTACACTTATGGCTAGGTCTTAATAGAGCCTGATTGTTTAATTACCCTTCGTTTGTCTTCTAAAAAGGATGTGGATGAGGGCGAGATCTGTATTGTACCCTCAGCTCACATGCACACCTTTCGCACGCCAAATATGTACAATCATTTCAGCATTATTGCAATTTATACGAAATTAACTTTGATGCTATAAAACTGCAAAATTTTCCATGAAATGTAAGTTCATATTCTTGAGCTGAAGGACATCTTGAAAAATTTATCAGAAAAAAAAATCTAACCTTCTTCTTTTGATAACGAGAAAAAAATCAACTTGTCTGAGGCCCTTAAATGAACCAAATAAATATCTCTAAATACAAACATTTTCGAAATTATGAAATTTCAGAGCGTGTCTATCAACTATAAAAATTTTTATAATCTTAATTATTTCATTTATTTAGCATTTTTTTTTTCAATAGATTATTTTAATCACTCGGAGAATATATCATAAATTTATAACAGCGAGAATTTGTCAGGTACACAGTTTGATTTCTCGTGGGATCACGCTAACAAGTTTATTTACAGTTAATTCTCTAAATTTTATCACTGAAATCGTTATAGTGAAATTTTCTATGACAATTTCAAACATATAAGATTGCAAAAAATTCTATACTTTGTTTTCTTGTAATTGAAATTCATCCAATACTTTTCTTCTAAAAGATATACAATATCAACATTTTTTTTTTGGTACAAACTCCATGCATTACGTTCAATACAATTTAAGTAATCGAAATTTTCTCACAACTTAAACCATAACTTAGTATCAACCGTTCTTTGATTGTCGTTATCACGAGTTGAACCATCATGTAAATTGTGAGATGTGCTTCGGTGTATATGTGTTTTAATATGGTGATATGATCTATTACAATCATAAATCAAGGTATTAAACAGAAAAACTTGAGAAATATATCATTTTTAAAGTTCTACTATAGAAAACTAACTTTGAATACTTTTCTTGAATAATATTTTTACTATTTAAATGAAGCAATTGGTTTGAATTCCGAAAGGAAATATTTTAAATTATGCTGTAAATCTTTTAATTTTTATCGATAGATTAAAAACCATCATTCAGTAATTTATAGAATAAAATATAAGAGTTTTCTATAAGTATGATTATGTTTAACAGTATGACTCAATGTTTATACGCTTAAAAGAAAATCATTCATAGAGGAAATAAAATTTCTAATAATATTCTTTGTATATTTTCTTGTGAAACGATATTAATATACAATCGATTCATTGTACATTTACTTAACAGAGAACAGATGCCATTCTATAATCAAATAAAATCTATCAGATTGTCTTGGAACTATCATACATATCAGCTAACAACATCATCCCAATTGATATGCGTATAATTGATAACTAATAAAGACAAGGAAGTATTAAATCAAATATATATGTGTATATTCGTTTTTTATCATTAAAATTCTAGTCTTCATTCATTGAATACCGTTACTCGATTATGATAGATAGGAACTTCTAAATTTACATGATAATTATTATCAGCAAATGCTGATTGTCGATAGTTCGTTAGATATCAACGATTGATTTCTTTTTACCACAGTTTAGCTCCGGCTATTCTTTATCTAAAAAATGAAATGAAATTATTAAATCTTAATAGTTTCTGAAATCTAGTTATTTTATGATCGACAGTTACTTTTGAAATATGAAGCCTTCTTATAAAAATATTTAACATTCAGCTGAGAAATATTATGTTGATTTCAAAATTTTACTAGATACTCTAATATATATTTCGATTATTTACACAATGTATGAAGATTAGATTGTATTTGTTTTGAGAAATTCATTGAAAATGAACACCCACTATCGAAAGACACATAGAAATAATAGGGATGAAAAACAAAGAATCACCCATTCTGCAATATCTTCTATGGCTAATGTTCATCATAATTATCCACAAGCATAATGATTAACAGAAAGGTGGAAATATCTATGGGCTAAATATTATCAAGCAGACTTCACATTCATTGCAATTTCAAGTCAATTCATTTATCTTGCATGTTTTTTACTGTCCATATACATACAAGCGCAATAATTAATAACATATTTTAGACCATTCAAGAAACAAACGTCGTCACATGTCGATATTTTGTTCGTATTTGTGAGTTATTCGAAAATTAAGAAACTCTAAAATAGTATACTGAGTTCTGTAAGCTACTACTCAATGGGTTAATGAAGATTTTCTCTAGTTTTAAATTTAAAATCTCTTGTTAGAATAAAGAAAAACCTCATTAAATAATACATCTAGTGAGTAGAGATAGGATTGGCTCCTATTTTTCAAAATTTAAATCGAACCGAACCAATTTCATATCTGCTAACAAGGAAAGTTCTCCAATTGACAAATTGCTGTTCAGTCGAGACTATGCGCATTATGTATTCTGAAAAATATTCGTGCTCGTAGTATATTGATGAAGAATTGCTATACTTTTTACAATATTTTTTTGAATGAATATCATGGTCCAGAAAAACTAATTTCTGAATTTTGACTTGAAACTTTTCATGGATACAGACCTTAACGAGAGCAATTTATTATGAGTTTTTCAGATCTTGTCACCGTTTCTATCCTAAAATACAATTATGGGAATAATGTGTCGTTTATATTGCTCAAATAAAGCAGCAAATTCGATATTTTTTTATTTCAGGATACAAGCAAATCAAAAGATCTGAAGTTTTTACAATACACTACTTTCCAGCAATAAGTTAAGGGAACGAATTTTTTATCAAAGTATTCATAGTTTATTCGGATCTGTATAATGTACATAGACTTGAGTAAAAATTGATTTATCAGTGGAAGAAATTCCTTCATAAGTTACAAAAATTTAAGTCATTATTAGTTATGCAAATGATGACATTGAATATCTGTATTTCCAGTATCCATCTATCGACATATCCTTCTCTTAATTTATGGCTTCTATTGAACTATTCAATTGTTGTCGTCTGTATTCAATTGATAATTCAACATCTTCGTATATCTCATTGTCATTGTTAAAAAAAAAGAAGAAGAAAAGAGCAAAGACAACACTATATACAAAAAGAAGCTGATCAAACACAATTGAAATTCATTTTCAATCGTCGATCTTCTTTCGTTATTCACTCTTTTCTTTCTCTCTAATCAATTAAACGAAACATACACGCCTGTAGGCGGATGAACATATATATATATATATACGTATATATAGCTTTATGCATATGCATAAAGATACATGATCCCAATTACAAATAAATCAAGGCGAAATCACGAATGAATGACAAAGAAAAAAAAGAATTTCTTCCCTTCTTAATTCCAAAAGTTCAAGTACATATCATAAAAAAAAAAAACAAGAATTATGTTTAACTAAAAATTATTCGATCAACAAATTGAACATACCTCGATCTTTGTGTGAAAAAGAAGCAAAAAAATCATTATTATTAATTGTTGTATATAAAACTCATCAAATAGTTGTATACACCTGTTTTATCTTTTTTAATATGTAAGTAAAATGAGAAAAAGAGAAAATAATAGGGATACAAAAATACAAGCATAGGGAGAATAACCTCATTTTCTCATATGAACACGAAAGTAAAAGTATGTCTTTATTCATTTCTTGTCTTCAATTTCTTGTTATCTTATTAGTTTGATGCATGATAATTCTCATAAATCACAATCGTACATATGCTGATGGCAGAATGACCCGGACATATACATACACACTTGCTTTTTTTCATTGTATGCTTTCATCATGTTTATAGGTTCTAATCATCAGTTCACCATCTGCTTCGAGACTCATCATTCTTATGTGTATTTATCTAATGAAAATTCTCTCATCATCATTGTCGATCAGAAGACAGGAAGGAATTCTTTTCTTTTCTTTTTTCAAAATCACATCAATATTCTCGTTATCAATTACAAACATATGATAGATTCCTGACATGCTAGTGAAAACAAACGTTTCCGCACGTTATTATTTGTTTATACAATGAGTGAATAGAGATTAGAGCAGTTATAGACGAAATCTGGATATGATCATTTATAATATAAATTCTTTTTTTTTCTTATAAAATAGCTTTATTTTATATATTAGATCTTCGTGTTTTACAAATCAATTCAACATGGTAGGCCGTTCGGTAAGTTTTTTACTATTATGTTTTTTTTCAAATAATACATTTGATAAAAATCGAATTAAATGGAAAAAAAAATTTCATAAGAAAAAATGATCCGATGATTATCAAAGAAAATTTTAAATCAATTCGAGAGTACTTGTTGTATATTAATTATAGCCTAAAGTTAAAGTTTAGAAAATCAATAGAATTAGCTTTTGTTACTATGTACAGTTAGGTATTAGATTTTATTTGAAGACAACTATTAGAATTTAATATTGATCGGAATATAAAGTTGTGAAGAGAAGTAATGTGCATATGCACGAAATATTTAATTATATCAGTTTTCTTTTTTTTTTCGTATTCATTAAATAAAATCTCTATTGGTTACGACGAAGAAAAATGACTAAAAAGAATCCATCAAAACAGTCAAGTAAATCACATAAGAAGAGTAAGAATGATGGCGTAGGAAAACAAGCTGATGCTTATCGTATATTTTTTGTTGAACAACAAACACATCGAATTGAATTGAGTTCAATGTCGACTAAAGAACAGATGAAAATTTTAAGAACTGAATGGCGAAAATTATCTGCACAACAAAAACAAGCATATAAAGTTAAAGCTACTAATGAAATAAATCATCAAGTACTTGATAAAAAAGAATTAACTTCTAATCGAATTCATTCAGGTACAAAAACTAACGGTAATAATAAACATCATTCTCATGGGAAAAGTCCATCACAAAAGAAAACATGTACAAAGAAGACAAAACGAATGAATCAAAAATTAGTTACTCGAAAAACAACTAATCATGAACAACATGATCAAATTGAAGGACATGAAACAGTTGAAAATACTCATGAATAATTCGAGAGAATGAATAATAAATTAATAAAAATTAAGATTTTTCGCATTAGAGTTTTATTATATAGTAGACAATTTTATTAATGACATTTATTGACTTGCTGTTATGTTTATCGATCATATATAAATATATTATTCATCTTGGACCATATGTATATGTAAATCAAGAACTAATTGACTTTTTTTCCTATTCTTTTTTGTAAGTAACATAGTTCTAGCGAAATAGTTCTCTTAAAATAGTGATGGGCATATATAATCGTTGTTAAACACGCGACACATATATGAAGCTTTGAATATATAAGGCAGTATTCTAAATGTATAGATTCAAATAAAAAACGAAACCAACTTGAAATTTACATAATGTAAAAGAGCAAAAGGGATAAGAAAAGATGATAAGAGAGATTCTTTTCTCTCTTGTTTTTTCTTGACTATATAGAACGACAAGCAGCTTCTTCTTCGTTATTCTCAATTGGTGCTTGCCACTGATTGGATACATGCATTTGAAGCTATTCGTTTTTTTTTTATTTTCTCTCTATTTCATTATTTAGAGGAGAGAAAGAGAAAGCGAGTAAGTGCCAGAAACGACAAACATTGTAAAAAAAATAAGCAGAATAAAGATTGAATCAACATCACAGAATTGCAACTTATTTGATTCACAATGTCGGCAACGACCGATATTAGTAATACTAATTTTACTGATATATCAGGCAAAACAACAGAACGACTTATACGAAATATTCCAACATTGATTAATCAAAGAAAAAGTGTAAGTCAATGAATTGATTCATTCTTTCAAAAAATTTGAATTATTACACTGATAAGGCAAGACAAGGTCAATGTTTCACCTATGAAATATGACTTTATCAATTTAAAAGAAAAGTTCGAACAATGAATCAATCATTATAGTTAGTTTCTCCTTCAATAAGATCATAATCATTGATTGAAGTAGTGAATCGTGATGCTACTGGTAGTCTCAAGTGTGCCATTTTGAATAGAATATGTATATATATATATATATACCTGTATGACATTGAGTCGATCTAATTTCACTATCTAAACAAACGGAGCGAGTAAAGAATAACGAGTTGAATCACAGGCATATGTGAATTATTTTTATTCGCTTCTTGAGCAAAAGAATATTGTATGTTTATTTTTCTATGTCAATAATTTATGAATGCCGCCAACACATTGATCATTCATGATGATAACTGAAATAACATATAGACTGTAAATCATTTATGCCTTCATTCGTCTAGTGTAAATGTATAACGCGAAGTGTCGATACGATAGCTGACCTATTCTTAACTATTTGAACTTATTTTATACTGTTTTTTTCTTTCGCATAGCCTATGACTCTGCAACGACAAGAAATCAAGGAACGTTTAGATGCCGGACCGCATAATAAGACAATTGTCGATTTAGATGAGATCATCGAAAAATGGGTAAGTTGAAAGACATCCTGTAGTGTACATAATAATGATAAATTACATATGGAAAGAGACTAAAACGCAGCAGGTGTGCATATATAACATTGTTTTACTCATTGATCAATAGACTGAACATAATCGAATGATGACTATTGCGTCATATGGATAGACATTCAATATTTAAAAGAAAAAGAAAAGAATATGATTATATTGTTTTTTTAAACTGGCTTCAAATTTACTTTTCAAACAAAAAAAATTCTAATAAGAGAATGCTGTCAAGTAGACTTCTCATAACTAAACTTAGAAAGAATATATGCTGTCTGAATTTTGGTGACAAGGGAACTACTCAAAACTGTTACTCACTGTTTGAACTGATATGGAACCCGAAATAGAAAGCAGTATTTTATATAGACTTTCCTTTTCGAATTTTAAAACTCCGAGAAGGGGAACATCTATTGTTTTGGAACTATAGATACCTAATACATGTTACAATAAACACCAATTTCGAAGGGGAGTCGGAATCTCGGTCGTCATGCTACATAAAAACACTGCAAGGAAGTCTTGGTAAGACTAGAAAAAGTTTAACAGGGTTCATGTTTACAGGTCAATCAAGGCAAGCTATGACTGTTTTACTAAACTTTAGACCTATTTTAAGGTATTTACTGGAAAATCAAAAAACAAAATTTCAACATGCAGTTTGTTTCTTAGACAAGTCTAACGACCCTTGAAATATTCTTTTGTCGAGATATAGAATTTCCAAAAAATGATTGTTTCCTACAAAAATCGAATGTATGTGAGAGCTCAATATCTCGACAAAAAGAATATTCAAAGGACCATTAGACCTATGTATGAACAAAATTTCAGATAGAAATTCCATTATTTAATTTTCCAGTGAATACCTGAACATGGATCGCAAGTTTAGTCAAACGGTCATAACTGGGTATCGATAAAATACGCTCTGAGTACCATTTTAATTGGGACTAATACCAGTCAATAGAGTTTGAGATTATAAGTATACTGGACTCCAGTCTGAGTCAAAAACTCAAATAAATAAATGTTTGGAAAATCATATTAGATGAAGTTATGGTAAATACCTTCGTGCTCGAGTCAGCTCAAAGTATGTAGCAGAGCTGCATTTGATTTTTTTTTTTCAAACATTTATTTTATTGAGCTGCTTTTGGCTCAGAATAGAGCCCAAATAACTTAGAATTTCAAGTTCTATTGACTTGTATAAATCTCAAGTAAAACGGCAGTCAGAATGGATCAGAACATATTTTATCAATACCCATCATAACTCGGCTTCAGAGGCCCATGAAAGTCAATTCCTTTAGAATTTTTTTCTAGTCTTATCAAAACCTCCTGTGAGTCTAATACGAGTTCAAACAATAGGCCACAGTTAAAGATAGTTCACTCGTAAGATAAACTAATGACACGAGAAAAAAAAATCATTATTGTAGATTCTTCATTTGCTGTATCGATTTCATGATGACATAGTTAATTTTATTTTTGTTTCTTATAAATTATTTATTAGGTATGGAAAATGTGGGAATTATCAAAACGTAGTCGAGAAGAATCGAAATATCGTCGTGAAGAACTTGATATAAAACTAAATTGGAAACGTGTAAATTTTTGGCAATCTGAAACAACATTTACTCGTTCAGCCCAATTACGTATGCCTAAATCTCAAATATTATTTAAAACTCATTTTTCAAATAATACTGATCGTGAACAAGAATATTCATTACGTGCTCAACGTTCAACAACAACAACATTAAATTTTACATTTATGCGTGGTTTTACCAAAGAAAAAGAAGGTTGTGTTACATTTAAATTACCAAATGAAGTTTTAGAAGTAGGTGGTGGTCTTCGACATGAACAACGTGTTGAATATGGAAGAGATTCAACTTTTGAAACACAAATGACATGGTCAGCAGATTCAACTATTCGTGTTGCACCACATTCAAAAGCAAATGCTGAGTAAGATATTTTTTTTTTCTTCTTTCAATATAAATTTTTTGTTTGTTTCATTTTTTTGTCAGATTATGTATAACAGAAGAAGAATACTCAGCTGATTTTTCAGTTGAAGTACGTTTTAGTGGTCGTATATCAGCAATGATTAGTACACGAAATAATACAGGTGGTTATTATAAATATATGGAAGGTGACTTAGCAGCAATATTTTCTGATGCATTACGTGCAGGTAATTGTGGTGCAAGTCCTGGTCAATTTGAAGTACATGAACAAACACAAACAGTTCGAACAGTTATGTTAGGTAAATGTGCATTTCGATATGGTATTGAGCAACATGTTAATGTTGAACAAGGAAAGTTAGATGATTTATCATCAACGGTAACTAATGAACCACCACCAAAATATCGACCAGTATTTACATCGCATAATATTCATTGAGAAAATCAATTTGTATATGATTTTTTGTTTGTAGTTATCATACTTTTTCGTTTTTTTTTTTGAAAAAAAAAGGATATGATGAATATGCTTGCTTAAATATTTATTTATTTTTTCTAAATATCATTATGCACAAAAGAAAAAAACAAAGTTTCGGTTGAGAATGAAAATTATCACCGAAAAGCTTTAATTATTAACAGTAAAATAAGTGACATCGAGAAATTCAAGTCGATTATCGGTTACATATTGTTGAAGTGGAAAACGAAAACGTTGTTCACGTTCGATTTTCTTTTCAGGAATTTTATCAATCGATTGATAAAATAAAAATATATATCGATGAAGACTAGAACCAACTGGAGATGCAAGTCTATTGTATGAACCTATTTATAAATATAATATATTATTTTCAAATAAGAATCGTTTGAAATATAATTTTCATAATGTTTGATCATCTGTATGATCATTATGCTGAAAATTAGGAACAAGTTAATGAAGAACAGGACTTTTGATAACATCATCACGATTTGGTGCATCAGGATTGACCATAATCTTAATTGAAGAAGAAAAAATTTAATAAAAAACATAATTTAAGACTATTACAAATGTTCGACAAGTTGTATGATCGATGTTTTCAACTTCAACTTTTGGTTGTAATTGAGTTTCTTCTTTACTCAAATGATTGTTACTTTCGAGACTTTTATTCTCACGATACTGTACAATAAAATCTTGCTTTCGTTTTCGGTTATCGTGTCTAATTTCATCCAAATTTTTAAGCACATAGGCAATATTTGGATTCACACATACACTCATATTTATAACCTTTAAAACAAAATTAATCTAAAATTCAAAAGTCTACTACTTACTTGCTTTATTTTAAAGTGTTCGACCTATATATATATATATATATATATTTATTTTTATTTTTCCTGTTGTCTCTAAGCATAAGTCATTGTGTACGTATTGACCCTACATGATACCTTATGTTTTTTTTGTCAATGATAAGAAGACAACAAATAAAGTGAAAGAAAACATACAAAAAAACCTTTTGCAGGACTAATAATAGATTAAGTCTAAAGTTCTATAGATATATGTTTTTAGAAATCAATAAAATCAACCTTGAAAGATAAAGCCTTGAGATAAGATATATGTTCATATTTTTATATGTTAAATTAACCAATAACAGTATATGATGTTGCAGCAACTAATTGTAAATGAAGATCCTCTTCAAGTTTTCTCAAATGATATTGTTTTCGTTTTCCTGAATCACTAACAGCAATCGATCCACCATGTTGAGGAGCAGGCATAACTGATTTATACAATAAGAATACATATTGATGTGGACCTGTACCAGATGGTGGTGCTGGACCTTGATAATCAGCTATGAAATAAAAATAAAAATCAATGGATAAAACTTTTTTATAAGTATGAAAATAATATACCAAGAGTTTTGCCACTATTTATATCGTTTCCCACAAAACCAGTTTTAATCCAATGTAACCATGGACCTGCACGTTCGTTACCTCGTTCAGGAGCATCTGGATCAATCATGACCTAAATATTGAGAATAATACATAATGGTAATTAAAAAAAGTCGAAACAAAAATTTACTAATGTAAAATAAGAACTTTTTGGATCAACATCAGCATTAACTTGAACTGTAGGTTCAGCTTGAGTATCACCTCTTTTTAATTCATCACCATCATCAAATTGTTTATTACGATATTGAACTACAAGTTCATTGCTTTTACTCTTGCCAGCATTGTATTGTTCCCGAACATGTCCAACATCAGAGCTTATGCCTGCCATGATTATTTGAAATGTAAGAGTGAACAATAATAGTATGTAAGAAATACTGTTTGTATAAGAAGTCAGCCTTTTTTTTATTAATGCGTAACAGTGTTGTGATTTTTATATAGTATGAATTCGAGGTCGTGACACAATTTTTCAAGTAAAACAGGATAAACGACTACTATTATGGCTGCTGGAAAAAAATAAACAGTACTAGATGGTGCACTATGACGGTAGACAATTAATATGAATTTGAAAAATTTGAAAATTATAAAAATTCAGTTTTCTTTTCTTTTTGAACAATGAATATACTAAACAAAAATAAATATTCCTCTGTAAAAAGTAAACTATGATTTCATGCGAAATAATGTCAATTATATTTGTTTTCGAAAATATTTTTTATACATATTTAAGATTATTTTTTTTTTTCGTTCCTTGATAATTTAACTTAAAAACAATAATTATTTATTGAAAGCATATAGTCTTCGATTAATAATATAGTTCCCAACTTTCAATCGTTTTCAAGACTCTAATAGATAAAATTTTGTTTTATATTGAGAATTCGAAATCTTTCTAGAAGTTAAACGTGTTTCGTATTTGAACAAATATTTGATAGGTTTAATCGATTCGATTAACGAAGAATTCCTTATTAAAAAAGGAGACTCGAATGAATTTAGAAAGGCTTAGTTTCAGGGAGAGTTTTCGTTGAGGTGCTTAAGAAGATCCAAAAGTTTTGTAGATTATACAAGAATAATTAAAAAGGCTATCAGTTGGCTTTTTCTTGTCCTTTATTATGACATGGAAGAGGTGTGAATTGCTACTTCAGGATTTTTCAGAAACATTTTGTTGCAGCGAGTAAAGGAAAAATTAATGCAATATTTCATCTATAAAATTATACTTTTTTCGACACTTGTACTGATAGAATCTATGAAATTACAGTGATGACAAAATAGAATAAAATAAAACAAAAATGTGTTTTCAGATTGTTTCATCATAGTAATAAACTTGTTTGTAACACTTATTAATATGGACGAAAAAAGAGTGAAAGCTTGAAAATTACGAAAGTAATTTCTATTGAATTTCGTATTATAATTAAACATACGTCAATTTTTTTTTCCTCGCTTCATAGTAAATTAATTTGTACTTATTCTTATAGTTGTTTGGTCTCAAACTCAGTTTGAGGAATAGTTTGTTTAATTCCTTCTCTTGTAGCGAATTTTTTCTATTTTACCACCATACTTGAAAGTTTGCTAGAGGATACTTTAGACCGTGTTATGATATAATATTGCTAATAGATCATGAAACTCGATTTATGAAAAGTTTTGAAAGAAAAGATGTTTGCAAAACTGTAATATAAGATTTTTGAATGTGTATATTTCACATAGATAACAACGGATTTATACAGAAAACTAACATTTTTAATAGCACTCTAATCAGTAAGTTTATAAGTGCTGTTCTTAATATTTGTGTTTAATCAAAGTTATTCAATACTGTCGTCGTTTTCTATATAAATATATATCAATATCAATATCATCTTTATCTTCTTCTTTTGATGTCAACTTCTCTGTAATTCTTTTCATATTGCAAATATCAGATTAGTTTTATCGGTAAACCCAGATACATGTAACAACCTAGCGCTCAACCGCTTACAATGACCATTAACTTACATATAGAAATAGAAAAATTCTGTGTGAGCTGGAAAGAGTACCATTTTCCTGTTTTTTTTCTGATAGCTTTGTTTAGCATATAAATTATATTTGTGGTCATTGAGTAATGAAATAAACACAAAAACTAAAACAAAAATAGATACCACGGCAACAAAAATTTTTTAAAGATCGTTGTTTATACAGTTCTTCGATGATATTTAAGACAATGAAAACTTTTTAGTCAAGATGATATTTATCTTCAGTGTATCTTGCATTTTAAGTTGACAAAAGTTAGTTAAAGAAGAACTGGTTCGCCAATTGTAATCAATGAAACATCAGGCAGGAAGAAGCTCTCAGCTGGATCTAGGTTAGGAAAATATTTTTATGCTGTGTTAATGTATCAGGCAGATTCAGCAAGTTGACATCATCAAATGCACACCAAAATATTAAAAAAAATGTTAACATTCAATACTTTTTCTGATAAGAATCGCAACATCTTCAAGTTTAGTATCGAGCAGAAGCGACCGATTTTATTTGAGAAAACTGTGGATAAATTGTGATTGATCGGCGGTTTTTTATCACATGGATTTGTATTTTTTAATGTGATGTATAGGTTCTTTTGACAGAAGATCATCGGTAATACGCTTTCCCAGCATCTATAAGTATGTCTATTTCTTTTGCTGAAGATCTCTTTTAATAGTCGTCATGTTCAACACGATTGGTAGTGAACATTCAGTTTGTAAATCAAAGTCCATTTCTTTTATAACTATTCAAATAAGCAAGCTTAATTAAATCAGTATTAGCAAACGATAGATACTGTGTACAGGTAACTACTCAAAAAAACGAATATAAGAAATACGCAATTATATTGCAAAAAAATGAAGATAACATATATGTCACGCACGTCTAAATAAAATCATCATTTCTATTTATTGATAACTGTCGTCTTCTAAAATTGCGTTAATTACAGCAGGTGATGACCTGTAAATCTCCGTATAATTACATAATTGATAATAATCATTTTTTATAGTATACAAAAAAAAAAATTGGTAAAAATTTCAAGCTGAATTTGAGACCACAGAACTATAGTGTTTCATTAGATCAGTGATGTATCCAAAGCGAAGATTGAAGGAATCGATTTCCTCGAATATATTTAAATACGTGAAGAAACGTACGGATTGATCAATTTTTGAAAATTCTAGAAGTGTGTGACTTCAATAATGATTCCTTCTTGTCACTTTAAAATATGATTAGATGTATGCTTTGTATCAAATAATATCAGAAATTGATGGATATCATATGTATGATTTTTTTTCTTCTATTATGAATTTTCAGGATGACAGAACTTATATCGTACTTCACGTACATTATTCTCATATGTCAAAAGTTAATATGAAGACAATTGTTTCTATGTTCAGATTCACGAATGTTAATACAGAATGAATAGAAAACAATTGGGACGACTCATGTGAATATTCAAAAGCAGAGAACGAAAAATAATTTATACAAAATGCATTACCTTCCCTATAAATACTCAATCCGATTCTGTACATGAAAGCGATAATCACAAGTCAATGTACCTAATGAAAACAAACCGCTGCGTGGATTTTAGCAATTATATTTCCAATCCATCTATGAAAGAAATACATTCATATATTAGTGATAATTCTCGATTATTAAGAGATGAAGAACGTGAGTCAATTTTAGTTTGCACTGGTGTATATGATCCAAATGTACACAAGATTATCATGGAACAATCCTAAATGGTATTAACAACAATTCAATATGATATGTTTGATTTTGTAACTTCAATGCTTTGAATAAAGAACAATGCATAGAAAAAAAAGACATTTTCTTTTATTGTAATCGAATTAAAGTTTATATCATAATAAAATATTTTTAGAAGCTTTGCTGAAACTTATTAACATAAATTAGTTAAATATAAGATATGATGTACTTTAGCATTTTGTTTCTGTCTACTATACTCTTGAATAAAATGTATACATGAGTTCATACATAGACAATTTAGTTATTAAAAATATAAATGTATAATACAAAAATTTTAAAAATATTTAAATAACGAAAACCAATCTGGTGCTTTTTATAGTCTATCAATTGAGGTTATATAAGCACATTTTGAAAACTATTATTCGTTTTTTCTTTTCATTTAAATTAAATTTCACATAGATAAAACAAGAAGAATAGTTTTAAAGAGATATTAATTTTGACTATTAATCATGAAAGACTAATAGATTTGTGTATAAGATTCACTCTTCTAGTTTAAAAAAACTAAAAATAAGATCATTGATAAAATAATTTTGCGTCAAAAAAAAAAACGAAAAAAAAAAGGATCATTAGACTTTTTTCTTTTTCTTA